AACTGTTTCTCTTAGATCTAAATAACTGCTAAGTGCAAATTTAAAACATTATAATTTGAAAGTGAGCCGTGTTTGTAAGATTTTACTTTAAACACAAAAAAGACACCGGTGTTTTATGCTGTACAGCATAACCATAAATTATTATAATTATTTAAATTAAATATTTGATAACTGAACTCCTTTTTATTCTTTTGATGCAGATGGGACACCGTAGTCCCTTTATATATTCGTTTTTTACGCTTTAATTACAGTCAAATATATATTTGGGTATTTTTAATTATTAAAAAAGAACAGTCTAGAAAATGTGTCCGATTATCGGAATTATATTTGTACTAAAATATAAAATCCCAAAAAAAGATAGAAAAAATATTTATTCATATTCAAAAATTTATAAATAAATTGATTTTAGAAATAAAAGAAATTTCAGTGATGAATAACTGCTTCTCTTAGATCTAAAGAGCTGCAAATAAGTTCAAATTTGAAAAATTATTATTTGGAAGTGAGCCGCGCTTGGAAGATTTCACTTTTAACGGAGAAAACAACATCAGTGTTTTATGCTATATTTCACAGACATAAATTATTAAAATGCTAAATATAATATTTTTCACTTATTTAGAGCTAATTATGTCCTAATATTTTTAAAGGTTTATAACAAAATAGTGAGAAAAAAAAGTGTGAAAATGGGTTTAATAAAAATTCTGCATCAAAGGGTTAATGTTAACTCTTCTCTCGTTTTATTATTTGTCTGGATCTAATACTATTTACGCAAAATTTCTGAAGGGATACTTTTAAGTTTCAACTATAGCTCGCAGTGCCTTATAAATAATCTAAGACAATAGGATGTCTGAACCGAATGAATTTGAACTTTTCGGTTATTTTTATTTCCATCTAGATCAAAACCGCACAATATTTTCATTCTTTACAAAAAATAAATAGTCTAGACTAAACAAAAATGGGAAGTATTGAAAAAGAAATCAAGGACTTTTAGATTATTCCGCAACTAGAAACTTAAGCTCAAAATGGCGGTTAATCAAGATTTTCGCATAAACTTATTAGAGTTACTACAAATAATAAAAAATGTCTCCAAAATTCTCAGAAACTCTAAATAATTTAGTCGCAAAAGTACATCCAAGGTTTTTTCTGATTAGGGATGCACCACAATACAAAAAATTTTATTAAAACAATCTTTTATATGAGCTAAAAATATTTTTTAAATATTATATCTTCTACTATGGTATATTATCATCTTGAATGCATCAATAAACAGTTTCTCATAGTTTATCTTTTTTTTGTTAAGTTAAAATTATTAACGAAACGGAAGAAGTGTTTCTTTTTGAGACAATTATTTTAAAAATCAGTACTTAAAAAAAAAATTGGTGCATGATTATTATATCATAGTGCAAAAGGTGAAATTTGCAATTGAGAACGTTTTCAGAACTCTCTAAGAAAGACTCCTAATAATTTAATTAAAAAATTTTTTTAAATTTTCGTAAACTTCTAACTATTTTTTACATATTAATTTTTAAAATAATATTTTAATAATAATAATATTATATACTTTAAGTTTTTGCGTTGCGAAAGGGGGTCTTTTTTTTTCTTCACTTTTCTTTTCTGCGACATTTTTTTATGCTTTATTTTTCGGGCTGTTTTTTAATAGTGCTATTTATTAGTGTTTGACTGGCACTTTTTTTTTCTCTTTATATTTGCAAGCGAGAATACAAATTCTCAAGCATGACGCGATGAAATCTATTTTGTACAAGTTTGATTTAGTTTAAAGCCTCTTATGCAGAACAATTTGTGTCAATTAATGCAGTTAACAGTAGATATAATTTCAATTAATTCAGAAAATAAGATAACTATTCTAATACTAAATGAATATGTATCCTAATAACTAAATGAATATGTTTTTATTTCTTTGTCACTTTTTCTAACAGAGAAAGTGCCATTTTAATGCTTTAGCGTCTGTACTTTTTTTTCTGATCAAAGGTTTTTGGATGAATGTTTTTCGTGTTTACTAGTAAACTTTTTTCTTCAAAATTTGTGAGTTTTGCTTCTGGGGCTCTATGCTTGTTATCGCTTACGAACTCCCTGCCACTACTTACGCAGTTCTTACGTTTCGCGATCTGCGATTCGCTTCGTTCGCACATTTTGCTAAAATTTTAATAAATACTCCGCCTTTATACGTTTTAGAGACCACCTAACCTTGCTCGCTATAGCCCACCAGCCCATGCAATTGTTTGCACAATATTTTTCAGAGGGTTCCGTTGGATCATTTCACCTACATTGTTATGGATTGATGATAACAACAAGGAATAAATCATTTTACTGGTTTTCCTGGCCCGGATAGCCTAGTTGGTTGGGAGCTGGACTTACCTTTGTGATAACGGTGGTTAAAATACAGCCGGCCGAAGATTCCCCGTGTAGTAAACGGTGACTGGTGCACGTTAAATTTGTCGGGTCACAAAGCCCTCCATGTTCTCATAACAAATTATACCTCTGGAGGTACTGGATTGGAGATTGATCGTCCTTTGACTCAGGTGAAAATTACGATTCATAATTACGTTCTACCTACAAACGGGTGTGACGTATGGGTGTGTCAAAAGTCAAATTCATGGCCATAGATGGCGCCACTTAATGGCCTATGAGAACAACAGCTGGCTTTCTTTCAGTTTATAAGTTAATACCAACATATGTGGGTAGAAGGTCGTTTACAGAATTCACCCTACATGCATACATTATTTCATAACAGTAAAATCTACGTCCATTTATAGATCAGAGGCCCTATCTATACTAAAAACTTCGTCTGCAAAAGTCAAATTCATGGCCATAGGTGGCGCCACTTAATGGCCAATGAGATCAACAGCTGGTTTTCTTTCAGTTTATAAGTTAATACCTACATAAATGGGTAGAAGGTCGTTTACAGAATTCACCCTACATGCATACATTATTTCATAACAGTAAAATCTACGTGCATTACTTGTATTCATCGGGGACGTCCGTTTATAAGTCAGAGTCCCTATCTATACTACTAAAAACTTTATTAGTCAAGTAAATTAAAATTTGAAATTTTTCTTTTATTACAGATTAATAATTTAACTTACCCAATAGGTCATACATCCAAACTATTTCTTCCCGCGGCTTTAGGAATAGCTTATTAGTTTTCACCTTAAATTAGACCAGAAATAAAATTGATTTCCTAAATTTATAATTTTGTTAAAATGAAATTGCGAGAATGAAGACAGATGTTTATAAGGTCTATTTTAAAATTATCATTCCCTTAAAAATCCTTCACAATTGGAGTTATTTCTCAAATTTAAGAACCTAATTGGTAATTATATGGAGAAATAGTTAGTCTAAATTGGAATTAAAATCCATATTTTTAAGCAAAAATAATTTCTTTTGTCAAAAAGTTCAAAGGAAATTTGTCTATATTTATTAATTTTAAGAGTTACATTTAGAAAATTCAAAATCAAAATTAACAACCAAAAGATAATCAATAAACCAGAGAAAGGACAGATATGTATGACGATTAAGATTATCAATTGACTAAACGAATCGAATATTGATGGAGAAAAGAATATTGAAAACATTTGTACAAAAATTATTGCAGAGAGAGAGAGAAAGTTTTGGATTTATTTAAAAAGAAACATACTAATCTGTAGTTCGTACAGCTGATTTGCAGCTGCGTAATTTATTGCATAATGTTAATCCTTAGAAGGGTCTTTTCGACATCATTTTCAGATGTATATAAAAAAAAAGTGATGAGATTAGTCCATTACTCCGAAAAAAAATTAAAAATTTATGAAAGCATAATGACTAAAAATATCACCCCAACTCTTTATTTTGCAGCTTAAAAAAAAAAAAAAAAAAAAAAAAAAAAAAAAAAAAAAAAAAAAAAAAAAAAAAAANAAAAAAAAAAAAAAAAAAAAAAAAAAAAAGAAAAAGAAAAAAAGATTTATAACGCCTTCCCCCGCCCCACCTAAAACAAAATATTCTTCGGACCCCCTTGTTTCTTACAAACTTGCAACCTTAATCGCAAAGTGCAATTATGTTTTGGTGGTAAAAGTTAAATTTAATTTCCAAAATTAAGCGATTACCATGAAACTATAATCAAAAAGTAATTTTCGACATTTAAGCATATTATTTTACGAAAATTTTTTAAAAGCCTCTGACTGAATTGACGCCCTCTAACTACACAACTATATTTATACATCCGTGTGTAATAACCATCAACTAAAAACATCCACTGTGTGAAGATTTTATTCCAGTTAGTATTTATATAGATATTTAGCATAGTCTTATGGAAGATAGTTGTTCAGTTTAAAATTTGCGCTTCTTGTGTAATAAGGATTTATGCCAGAAAATTTGTGCAAAAATATTTCAAAAAAATGTTGCTTTCTTTAGATAATAATTTTAGGAGACACAAATATGGTCATATGCAAAGGATAAGACACGAAAATGACATCCATTTTAAAAAATTTTGCAAAATTAAGACCGGAATGATAGTCGAAACCCCAGTCCTAACGCCAAAAATTTTAAATAAGCAGCTACTGAATTGTTTCTAACTAGCACTTAAGAACCATTGTTGGCGATCTATTGACAAATAAAGTAGCCAAAACCAAGCCAACCTTGAGTCATTAAATTTTAAATTTGGCTACAGCTAAATAAAAAAAAGTTAGAATTAATAACCCTGTAACTAATAAAAATTTTGTGATTAAGAGAAATTATGCATCTTAAGGAATGAAGAGTTAAAATAAATTTGATGTTGGATTTAATAAAGTCTGAATAAATGAGTTAAACATTTGTATTGAATAAAACGTTGACCATTACATTGATTAGTAATAAGATTTATATTTGCCTTTTATAAAATATAGAAAATTAAATAAATCGTTAAATTAATAAAATTCTATTTTAAAAAAATTATGAAATTAAATTTTAAGAGCTAAGAAACATTCAATTCCTATAGTGTTATCACAGAACCAAGTAAAATAAATACCACATAAAATATAAAGATGCTTTATTAAAGACTAGAATTTGAAACAAATACAAATTTGTCCCTTAATATAGATAAAATCATAGTAAATTTACTCACATTTCTTTCGATAAAACAGTTTACACAATTTGAGGACTGATTTGTCACATATAAAACTTGCCAAGCCTAAAGTAATCAATAAGTTATCACAGACACATGGCAATTGTAAAAATTTCTATTTTATAAAACTTAACACTAGACCTTCGACCAGCAAAAGCCTGCAAGAGCATCAAGCTACACTAGTCCATATTGTAAACTTCGCGTCACGATGTCAAAAATAAAATTTTAAAAAATTATCGATAAGCATGCAATATGCTATCTGTCAAATTTGATAAAAATTTGAAGCTCATGAACGGAAATTTATAGTTTCAAGCGTCCTAAGTAGTGATTGGTGAATGATCCCAAATACAAATATCCTTCATGTTCTTTAACTTCGGACAAAGCATTGATCTTTCCATCAGGTGAGTGCAAGCTTCGAAGCATCTTTCCATTTTCATCGAATTCTATCACAATACCATGGCGAGGGATAAAAGGTAAAATAACATCTCCCCGTTTGAACTAGAAAACAAAATTTTAGATTTAAGACTTTACTATAGCAGAAAGTAACAACCACTGAATCAAAAGCCTAGAATTTATTAGTTTTCAAGCAAAATACATAAAATTTCCTGTTTTAAATTCTTGGGGAATTTCTTAAGCACCGTTCCACCAAGAAAAAAAAGCTATAGTCGAGATTTTAAGCTTAATCCATTTCTAGACCCAAATAATTGACATTGCTTTTGGGAAGCTCTATAGCGAAGGAAAATAGAATAGCCACAGTTTATGTCTTATACTTGAAGCAAAGCAATTAACTCTATATCATCAATCTCATTATTAAACTATCATCTTGCTGTGAATTATCTGAGCTTGAGAACGTACAAATACCTTAAAAATTAAAAACTTTTTAAAAATTACCAATTTTGTGACATTTTTCCACTCAGAGGATAAATTATCGAAATCACTGCCTTATTCTCAGCTTTTGTAAATTTTTAAGAGCCCAGATAATGCAGTATTGAAGTAAATTTTGAAATATTGAAAAATAAGACGACAAACACTTTGCATTTTCTCAAAACTGCGGCTTCTCTTAAGTGGCGTTTTGCTCCATTTTCAAAATAATCGTAAACAGTGCAGACTTTAAACTACGTAATAGTCGTGAGTAACTGTTACTAACTCACAGCAGTTATGAAAAAGCATCTTATTCACAAAAAGAATTTCATATAACCGAGCCTTCAAAAAAGTCTTCTAGTGATAGACTTAGAATTTTAAGTTTCGTTAACGTTGCAAATATTTGCCTCAACTTGAAAGAAGTTAAACCCAACTCTGTTACGTAACGAGCTATGCTTATTTCTGGTGAAGGGACAAGCGTGCTTTAAAGCCGGTATTTTTTAGATTTGGAACTAAATTGCAGTGAATATTTAGAATTTGGCTAGGCCCTCTGTTAAAAGTTACACTTCACTATACCACAAAATGAAAAGATTAGTTTTCCATTCATTGCTGTAAGATTTCCTTATTTAAATATCATACATTCTAATAAGTATAGTTAAGCGAGAATTTCCCCTTACATTAAACCTTAACGATGCCAAGTCAAAAAAAATTTTGAAGCCTAGAGCATAGTATTAAATTATTAAAAAATTTGATGGCGTAAATGCTTTTCCTTTTTACATAATTGTGGCTTCCTTTTAGACATTTTTCTAGATTTTCATACTTAGTATAGAGAGCGTTTGGCAAAGATTGGCACAGCTAAACCTAACCATCATAAAGTTAATCAGAAATTATAAAAATAGAATTACTCATGTTAATTCTTTATGACAAGTTCACAGCACAGCAATTACTAAAATGGAAATAATTTAAGCTAGTCTTACCCTATAGGCGAAGGTCTTTACAACTGGGTGCCCAGTTAGTTCGGCAAAAGACCATAGCAAAGTTCCAATGGAATGATGAAGTCTAACCCATAGGCGTTTGACCTGAGGATAAGAATTCAAGGAATCTACAATTAAAGTGTTAGAGCTATTTCGAGCAGAAGTGAAAGCTACCCAATATCCTCTAGGACTAGGTCGAATATTATCAGGCTCAGCAGGCAAATTATCCGCAAACACCTCAACTTTTCCTTTCTTGGGTCCTTTGATATAGTATCTAAAAGTAAAAACGTAAATAAGTGACGCTGTGAAACTACACTATCAAAATTTTAACTACCTTATCAAAAATTTTAACTTCAGAGTTTTACTTTCGTAGAATTAATCTCGAAAATTTTTGCGCCACTGTTTTTAGTTGTTAGAGCTAAAGATCTTGTATCTAATGCAGTTTATATAAAGACTAGCAGCAATTAAAATTTACCAAAAAGAATTTAAATAGAGTTGTTATAATGCGGGACCAAAGCTTATTCTTTTACAAAATTAGCAGATACAAACTTCTTTATCCTAGTACATGTTTAATTACCAGGAAAAAAAGGGACAAAAGTTCCGATTTAGACCAACGGACAGCAGCAGCAATTTGTACATTTAGAAGGGAAACTAGTACCTAGTGTGCATCGACTAAATACGCATTCAGCAGAATTGCAGAACTATAGATAAAAATTAATATTGAATCTACAGTTAAAGTATCTATTGTACACAAAATTAGATTATTAAATATTTTTAGAAATTCAGCATTTAAAATCATTATAGCTCTATCTTTAATATTATCAAAATATAAGCAAAAAAAAAAAAAACATTCTGATAAAATATTCAAGTTATTTTTGTCTATTTGCAAGATTTGTTAGAAATTAGCTTTCTAAACATAAAAATTGAACTAAGTCAATTCACAATGAATTTCAGAAACCCGAAACTATAGAGAAAAAAAGCTTGATAAAAAGCTGGTTAAGAAAAATACATTTGAGGTAAACTTGGAGGCCTGGTTATATATTCTACCCGTAATCTGTTTCGCAACTCCTATACACTTTTGACGCAACTCGCTGAGTTAGGCACTTATTTTACGTCGCACTAGAGCAGCTGCATAGACGACGATCTGGAGGGGGGAATCTCTGGAGGAAGATATATGGGATCACGTTCTTTATCCTCTGCAGAGGGGATGGCTCTCCCGCTTGAGCAGCCCAGCGACCTGCACCCAAAGTTTTGTGTTTTACGGAACAGTTTTACGAAGACTGGTACCACGCACCCTTGGTCCCTTCGCAGGCTGAACAAAAAATGACCCCCCCCCCACTCACTGAACGCTGCCTGTTATGCTAGACTTCTATAATTTATTGGGAACCATGTTTTGCGATCAGTCGTCCATTGTGACACTTTTTAAATGCAAAATTTCGGAATTAAATCCTTTAAATCTAAAATTTGGTTTTATAGAAGCTGTTTACTTCCCATTTGTATAGACTTTTTCTAGTTAGATTACCAACTTCAGAATTTTCTTGTTAAATACTCGTTAGTATTACAATACACTCTAAATATATTAAGCATTTACCTCAATATTCTTCTGTTCATAAGCTCGTTTACCAAGAGAGATTTCTTATCCTTCGCCAATTGTAAGCCATTTGGAAAGTGCAGACCTGACATCAATACTTTTGTCTCACCAGTATGTACATTGTATTTGACAACTCTGAAATTGAAAAAATGTTTTTAGTCACGGAAAAATATAATTGAAAATTCATATTAAGAGATGACATTTCTTTGCATTTGAACCCTTTTGCACTAGGGTATTTAAGAAGAATTCTTTAAAAAAAATCTTAGCATTTTTGGGTTAAAGTTTTTAGACGTGGTAGCTCATTCTTGCAGCTTCCTCGCATTTTAACTGAAATATACTATCTAATGTATTACAGTCTACATAATATTGATGACCCTTGTCCACCATTGAAAGAACCTACTGACAAGACGGAAATTACCTGGAACTTTCGGTAGGGAAAATAAAAGGAAAAGGAATTTGAGACTTATGCAAATATGCACCAATATCGGTAGATGTTAAATTGTTTCAATTACTATCGGGTAAATCTTGAACATTTGAAAGTAAGAAAGGCAATTAATAGTTCAAAGAATTCTGATTTCTTATTTTACAAAAATGGATCATAAATCACTGTACAAGTATCGAAACAATTATTTAATCTATTTTTTAAATTTATCAAGAATTTCAAACTTTAATGAAGGGAAAATTTCTGGTGGCTTATGTTGCAGGAAATAAATCCTTTAATAACAAGGGCTCTTTATTTTAAGGACATTTTTAGGTGATCAAAATCTGAGCTCTAGTCTCGAAGGACTTAGAATAGTTATAAATCCTTCGTACTTACCGGCCGCCGTTCTCATACTCTATCATCATGTAGTAAATAGTAGCCAGGTCCCATTTCTTTGAGGCATCAGTAAAGTATATATTTCCTTCGTCATCCATATCCAAGTCATCTGGGAAATTTAGTTTCTCGCCATCGACAAGGACACTGCTTGGAAGGATACGTGTCAAAGCACCTGAAAATATTTAAATGTAAGCATATATCTTGTCTAACTGATATTACTTTGAAGCCATGGCATTTTACTTAATGTCAGCAAAATTTCCTAGTGCTAAAAATGCTAACAAAATCTGGGTTAATATCAACATTTTTTATAGCGGTATCGCAATACTGTGATGCAGAAAATTCAACATAATCGTTGCTATGACTCATTGTAATGTAACGTTCACTGAAGCGTAATTTTAAACATTTATACTCGTTTGAAAGTAGTAAATACTCAAACACGCTACTCCGAATAATTTTGTAGTGATATCTTATTCAAATTAGACGATTTTAAAAACTATGGAAATTCCCGGACAAGAAATAACTTTTATAACTTCCTAAAAACTATTAGAAAATGACAGTTATTTACGACGGCATAGTCATAAAATATTGAATAGTCAAACTTAAAATGCATGTGTCGTAATAACATCGGAATACATAGGAACCAGATAATATAGAGGACCTCAAGGACCTAAATAACCACGTAAGAAATTTGTAGAAACGAAAAAGAGAAAACTATCAGAAAAAAAAAATAGATGAATTATCGAAATAGTCGTGAATCACTTGAATCAAAATGAAATTAACTCAAATTTAAACTTAGTGTCGCAATATTATCGTATGAAAAATACTGAATTTAAAAAAAAATAGAAGATTACCGGGAAAAAATTTAAAAAAAATTAGGATTAACTGAGGACTAGTCATTAATAGAGAGCGTCACGAAGTCATAATTCGCGTGTCGTATTAGCATCGTAATAAAAATATCAGATTTCAAAAAATTGAGGAAAAAATACGAAAAAATTACAAATTCAAACCGTTAGAAGTTACAGAAAAATGCAGTAACAAAAAATGCTAGCAACTAGCATTTGGTATTATGGTTCAAGGATTCAGCAACAAAGTTAATTAGTTCATTCGTACTATGTACACGAGTTTCCACATACCTAAAGAATTGAAGTTTTGGATTTACTTAAACCCTTCATATATAAAAAAATTTATAACTTTATTGTCATACTAAAAACAAAAACACTTAGTGCATAAAACATTAGCGAATTACAAAGGCAATGTTTAAGAAAAAATTAACTCAAAATACGATTAAACAGCCTAAAAGAAGTTTGCAAAGTTAATACTTTTAACACTACGCAGAAAATAAATTAAAATTCAGAGTATTTCCAATTTACCTGTAGTGAAGTTCATCGTGAATATGCCATAGTAAGCATCGATGACGTATAAGAGGTTATCTTTTCCTATCCTCATGCCTAATGGTCTGCCGCATTGACGTTCTTCATATGGCATTTCTGTGTACAAATTTAACATTAGAAATAGATCGTGCAAATTTTAAAAAATTCTACAGAAAAATTTTGCAAAATTTTATTTACCACAGTAACGTCCAGTCTGTGCAACTGTTATCACTTTCCCATCTTTAACCTTCACAATTCGTCCGTCTTCTAATCCAGTGTATAAATCACCTGCAAGAAGATATTTTAATATTCGATAAAATATAAAAATTTGATAAGATTGCTTTTTCACATTGATATTATGTACCTTTGTAAAAGACAATCGATTCGGGTCCACGTAGTTCACCCTGAAATAGTATTTCAGCTTCGCTTAATTTGCAGTTTTCTTCTAAAGGACCCTCAAATGATGGGAAGGGTATACTGTAAAATTTAAAAAGGCAATGTTAGTACATCACAAGTATATACACCGAAGAGCCATTACATTATGACCACCCTCCTTCTATAACAATGGGCTCGCCCAAGTTTTCATGGTTTCTCGCCCAGGAACAATGTTTTCATGGGTCACACTAGGACCCATAATCCTCATAGAACAATCCCTCACGTCTGTAAGCTACTTGAACATAGCTGCAGACCAGGTTCACCCATTCATGGCAACAGTTTTTCCTGCTGGGGATGGTGTTTACTAACAGGAGAATGCACCATGTCATAAGGATCGAATCGTCGAGGAACATAACAGTAAATTTCAAGTCATGCCTTGGCCCCCAAAGACACCCGACCTTAATCCAATAAGAGCATTTGTGGTCCTACTTGGAAAACCAAATTCGTGCTGTCACGCAACCCCCTTGCAATGTGAGGGAATTGCAGGACCAGTTGGAGAGCGCTTGGTGCCAGATACCTCAGACTACCAATCAGCACCTTTAGCCCTCAAAACTGCTAGCACCACGGCTGGTGCTAGCAGTTTTGAGGGCTAAAGGTGGTCCTACATGTTATTAGCAGGCGGTCATGATATAATGGCTCTTCGGTGTAAATACCGTACCAGAAAATATGAAACCAACACAAGCTTTCTTAAAAAGCTTACAAGCTGTTCTGCTAACACCAGCCTTTCTATAATTTTTAAAAGTCTCAAAAAGAAAGTATACATATTGGGGGCCATGTTAATATTAAAGCGAGGACAAACAATTCCTAATAGTTAAGGAAGGAGAGTGTTCTAAACATCAAAGACCGCTTGCGGAAGGGAACATTAGTTCAGATTACATTTAGAAACACTCAATTCAAAACTTGTAATCAAACAGGTTTTAATATTATGTATATCTGCCTCTTTAAATAGTGATTTGTTAGTTTTCAAATCTTCTCTTCTCTCGTATTTACAACCCCATCGTACACACTATATTCATTTTTTATAAAGATTCTAAAAATGTGTTTTAGGGTCGGTCTGTACAGAAGACTATTTTTAAAACCATTGTAGAAAAAGAAAATACTCATTAGAAATCGAATGTTCAAACTAATAATTAGATCAAAAGTTCAAAAAAGAAAAATAACCTAAAGTCAAATTTATAAGTTTACGGGTGGCTCCCGACTTACACGAAAGTATTCTTGTCACAGATTTTTATAATCTTCTAGTTCGTACTAATTTGTCATTGCGTCTAAGCTTTGAGACTTAAATATTTTGAGACCCTTAACAGGCTTAGACTTTCTTTTAAAAATGTCAAGGAAGGTCATTACGAAAAACCATACTGGCTTTATATACATCATCCTTTCCAATAAATGCGAAAAGTTTATATTAGAGACTAGTACAACCATATTTTGGTATCAGTGAGAACTTATGCAAAGTATTAGTTACAAAAACTTGATACTCTTAATATAAGATGCACAAATCTTGATTTATGGAGGTAATGAAAACTGTAAATTAAATCGTTTTTTAAACATTTTTGGTAGTTTAGTTAAATCCAATACAAAATCAAATATTTTGTTAAATTTATGTACAAACATATTTAGCATGTTTCCAGCATCAATACTTTTAATGAAGAGATAAAAATATATCTACTGGCTAGTATATGTTAACTAGCACAAACCCGTATATTTATTACGTTTAAATACTGAACTAAATTATATAGTTCGAACATGTAAAATCTGAATACTGTTTATCAAATATCTGGATGGGCTAATATTGGTACACATTAAAATTTTTATTGCTTTATATTTCTTACTGATAAAAGCTTGTATTATCAGTTTTATTTGAACAAAGGTTAAAAAATTTTCTAAAAAGTATATTGCTTTAAAAAATTTACACAAGGCAATTTAAAACACATTCTTGTAGACATCACTTTCAAATTATTAATAAGCATAAAAAAAATAGGAAAAACGCTCATTTTGAGGGCAAGAATTTGCTTTGGGCCATGCTTAGGAAACTTACTCGAGTTTTTAAATTTATCCAAAAATAGAAACAGCTGCAAGTAAAATAAATGATTTTAGAAAAAGATGCAGATTAGATTTTACAGTATATGAAAAAAAAACTTCGCAGAACTACAAAAACGAAACGAATGTTTAGTTATCTAGGGTTAAATAAAATCGCCAGCTCTGTAATAATTTGAACCAAAATTTAAAAAACAGTTTGGGTACTTACATAAATTTTGTGACTTTTTTACTTTAAAAATCGAAAAATCACTGCTACATGTACCATTTACTCCAGTCAAATTTACTAGAATACTGCCTTAACTTACGTCGAGTTTATCTAATGATGCCATTTAGGCAATAACTATGTATTCCGTATGACTTTTTTTTTTTTTACGATAAATGAGAGAATTTCTGTCATGTTAGTGAATTCTTGAATAATCCGAACTAAACCATTCACAGAAACGAATCCTTTAATTTTATAATCAAAACTACTTTGTGTAGGTTTTAGCCAATTCTTGCCACTTACAAAAAGAAAAATTTTTCCTATTACGGTAACTCTAATTATAAGGAAAACTGGAATTTTTTAAATTTCAAATCTTTGATTTTATTTTCAACATACCAGACTGAGCAATATTGAATCTATTTCGATAGCACAAATTTAAACGCTTTGATTAAAACTTTAACATTTGATGAGATAATGAGATTAAAGAACAAAAAAGATTAATTAAAATTTCAGAGTTTTAATTAAAAATTTGCATTTTATCACATTTAACATTTGCGCTAAAAATAAACTTACAGTAATCGAGTATTTTAAGAATTAGTTTTTCTTCAAAACTGGTTATTTAAAATAACATTACCTGTACGCGGTTGGGTTGAAATCCAGCAACGTTGGGGAATACATTAAAAATACATAAGCTATTGGCACAATAGCACCAGCTAGTAGCAAAGTCTTCATGCTAAAAAACAAACTGTTAGTAATACTGAAAAATGTCAAAATAGTTTTAAAGTTATCTATCAAATTTGTGAATTTAATATAGATTTAAAAGCTCCTTAATCCAGATATAATTTTTAAAAAAATTAATATAATATAAAATTATTTCTAAAAATTTTTACTGAATATTTTCACCTCTCAGATTCAGTCAAACAACTCCACTTTAAAACGAATACCAAAAATAAAACATGCAAAAATTAAGTAATTTCAGCTAAAGTTAATTAATAAGGAAACAAACTGCAGTGTTAGGGAGGAACTCAGATTAATTGTTACTTATCAACAGTGATAAAAATTTAAACGAAAAATAAAAATTCTATCAAACTTATCAGCCACGAAGAAATATCAGATTAAGTTTTTCCACAGAATAGTGTGTTATGTCATAAGATTCCTCAAACTTAGCAAAACGATACCTTCAAAGTCCTATAATGAAAGTCTTTTCGCATGCCTTCCTCCGATAAGTGTTTAAGAAACTATAGGTTTGGGAATAATAAAAAAAAAAGCGAGAAACTGCTAAACTTGACAAAAATTCAATATGTTTTGTTCCCAAAACAAAAACTGAGGGTGACACATTACTGGTGGTGGCATCGGGGTCACAGAAACAGTATTTACCTTAAATAAAAATAGGAGGGTTAGACACAGTTATTAAGTATGTTTAGTTATTTTTATCCTTAATACTGTTTTTTTTTTTAAATTATTAGGTACTCGAATTAAAGGTTTTGAAGAATAACAATAACTATTGTTGTCAACATCTCCTTCAAATAATGCTCCCTTTCTATAGCTTGTATAATGCGGTATTAATACTGTTTAAATAGTTAAAATTCATAAGAAAAAAAAATACTACTTGTCAGGGATAGCAAATAGGAAATTAATTTTATCAAAATAGATCGAAATGCCAATTTAACCAAGAACTAGTTTTTTTCTATACATGAACTAAAACTTAGGTTTTTTTTCAAAAAAGCAAATTTTACATGCATGCCTTACTATAGCATTTTAAACTTTGGGCAAAAACAAGAAATAAAAGTTCAGAGATGGAAATATTTATGAAAATAGTCCTTAAGTATTTCATAAAACAATGTAAAGTCAGAGAAATTACAGTAAATAATCTCTAAAAATCAGAAAAAAAAGTTAAAAGTTGTAACATTCTATTTCAGAAACAGTAGCTCAAAACTTAAGAAAAACAATTTAAAACTGTTATGAAACAGCAATAAATATTGATAACAATGGGAAACCTGAGTAAGTAAACAAGAATTAAAAACTTTATAAGTTCCAACTTACGTTAAAAACGGAATAAAAGCGAAGGACAGAAGCAGAAAGAACGTAACTGACCTGGCTTCACAGAGAAGCTATTTAAGATGCGAGCTTATAAACATTTCACAGTCAGTGAACATAATAATGCAGACTTCCCGCGCATCGTAACGAGCATGACGTCATTATTATATGCTTCATCGGAAAGAATTATTTTCCAGAGAGTCGGATTCGTTTGATTGTAAAATAGATAAACTAGATCTGAATTTCACTTAGCAACAAACGATTTTTTATAACTATTGAGTTACTTTGGAAATCACAAAATATCAAATATTTATCTTGAATGATATGATGGTTTCCCATTTTATGTAGATTATCGTTTTATAAGTTGGAAAAATATTGCTTTCTTGAATTGACGATCGATAAAACCAACATATTTGTTCTATTCTTTCGTAAATTAATAAGGCTTCACAATTTGCTGATCAAATTGACTGAGAAAGATTAACTTTTTTTTTTTCAAGTTTTCTTATCTCGCGATGTTTTATATTTCATGTCGGAACAATGAAGAATTTTTTCCTCTCTTTGTTTCCTTGTTTATTTTTTTTTTTCCTCTTTTAAATAGAAATGTGAGTTTTTTTAGAATGCAGTAAAAAGAAACCAATCTTTCTCAAATATTCATTATTAGTTATTTTTATTAGTGATGGCAACAGAAGAACTTTTTTAACAAAGTACTTGAATAGAACGATTGCATTTGTATTTAAATTCTCAATGATTGAGAATGTATTTTTGATTATGGTTTTTATACTTGAGATTTACTTTATTATTTCAAACATAGACAGACTTGCGTGCTCTATACAAAAATTGGCTTATTTTTCCTGGTCAAATAAAAAAACAAGGGGCACTAGTTAGAGAAGGGCTGCACTGAGATATATTCAGGGTTACTACTGTATTCGAACCCACTGCCTCCCCGTTTCCATCATACCTAACTGGACCTCCCAATCTCATCCCCTGGTGTGAATCCGGTGAACCTTAAAAATTTTAAGTAGGAACCCCTACTTTTTACAGTTTTATATTTTTCAGATTTATATTATAATTTAATTATTATAATTAAAAATTATAATTTTTTTGCTTTTTAGATCAAAATTAGCTATGGTAAACGCGGATCTATTAATTCTGCCAGTAATGGAGGACTCGTTAACAATTTTGTCACCATTTTTAGCTTTAAAAAAGCATTATAATTCTTTAAGACAGAACAGACCCCTGCTATACTCCTTTAAGAGTTAATATTTTCAGAATTCATTCCAACAAAAAAAAAGAAAGCTTCGTGCTCACTATTTTCAGAAAACACAAAAGGAGTCCCGCAGTGGACTGATTGTTAAGACGCGGTTCCCAGCAGATCACCGAAGTCAAGCATCACTGGCTGCGATCAATGTGCAGGTGGGTGACCACTTGGATCAGTTTGCGTAGGGACCGAGGGTGTGCGGTATTGGTCCTAGTTAAACTGTTCTGCCGTAAAGTGCTCGACTTCGCGTGCAAGTCGTCGGGCTTCCAAAGCGGGGGTGCCATCCCCTCCGCAGAGGATCAAAATTGTGATGGCATGTCTTCGGATCATCCTCAGGGATGTTTCCCAAACAGTCGCCAATAGCCCATTGCGCAGTTCTAGTGCGACGAAAATGAACAACAAAAACACAGAAGGAAAAAAAAGACAAGGCACAAAAGAAAAAATCTTTTGAAAAGGTTCTAGGCAGAAACCCCTTAGAGCAGGGTTTCTTAACCTGTGGTTCATGAACCCCTAAGGGGTCCATGAGTTATATTTTGGGGGTCCGCTGACTACTCCTAATTTTTAAAACGTTGGGAAGCCCATTGCTTGTAAAGCGAGCTATGGCAGCTATAATTCCGTTTGCTACAGTGTATCTTTGCGAAGCGGGATTTTCCACACTTGTGACAATAAAAACATAACATCGATTGAATGTTGAACATGATATGCACGTTGATTTTGTCGAAAACCATCCCCCAATTCAATTTATTAATTAAGGAAAAGCGGCAGCAACCTTCACATTAAAAATTTTAATTTTAAAAATTTTGTATACTATTAAAATAATAAAATTAAATGTTTTCTAACAATTGATGTTTTTTGCAATTATTTTTCTCACAGGGGGGTGGTCCGTGACTTCTTAAAAAATTTTAAAAGGGGTCCATTACATCAAAAAGGTTAAGAAACACTGCCTTAGAGGAAACATTCGAGCACGAAACTTTCAAAATAATTATTTTTTTAATGATTGTTTTAATGCAACATTGAAATATTTAATTTTTAACAAGTTCAAATTTAACATGAACACTTTTCGGACAGAGAAGTATGTTCGCTAAAGAGAGATGTCCGCTCAGTTGTAGTTCATTTGCGTCGCACTGGAGCTGCACAATAGGCTATTGGCGACGGTCTGGGAAACATCCCTGAGGAGGAACCGCGAGTGCTGTATTGCGGCGAGCGTAGGGTTGCCTCTGAGTGAGGGTTACTAGATAAGGCGGTGAAACAGTTGACAAATAAAACCGCGGCGAGTGGAGGTGCCCGGGAGTCGACAATGTGTAAAGTCGCAACCGGAACAGGTCGGGTAAAATATTAAATTATCACCGAGTACCTGGAACTGGTAAAATATATTAGGACCCGGTACATATCTTTGATTAAAATTAATTAAATTTAGTAATGATTTGTGCTAATTCTTGCAGCAAGAGGGAATTTTAAATTTATCCCGAAAATTTTGCTTTGAATTGAATTTAAACTTGATGGTTGTCAGTGCGTAAAGTTTATATCTGTGTTTGGTTGCCATCTTTTGAGAACTGACCATTAATGAATTTTTAACATTAAAATAATAAACTAGAACTTTTTTGGAACAAGAAAAAAAAATAACACAGCTTTTCGGTTCTCAAATTTTCATATGTGTTAATAATAATCATAAACAGATTTTTTAATAAACATCGCCATTGAATACATCGTGAAAACAATTTCAATTATTATTCACATTGGCTTCAGGCTACTTACAGTATGAAATAAAACAGATGCTAATGATGCCGTTAATAAACATATATCATTCGCTAAAGGAAAAAGCCAGATATTGAAGGTCGGTCGGTTTTTATGATAAATCAAGAGTTATAAAATCGCTTTCACTCGATGACGTCTAAGTTGCAAAAAAGAACAAGTTATTATTTGAACAAATTATCCTTTTCTTTATAAGTCACTGAATATTGAATAATCGCAATAGAAAATACGTGACAGAGTTCCTTTTTTTTTTTTTGAATTATGACACGATACTATTAATTTAAGGAAATATTTTATTTTTGTCTCACTTACAAAAGAAAAAAAAAAGTCAATATTTCACTATTTACAAAAAAATATTCAATATTTCATATGATATATATTACAAAAAAAAATATAGTCAATCACAAACACTTAAATTGTGAATTTCTATCGTTCTAATTAGTTTGTTTGAGATATACGTTTGCATTTTAGTTATCGATGAAAATATTTAAGTATTTTATTATTAAAAATAATGATAAAAAAACTAAAATAATTAATTACCTATGAAAAACTTTTCATGCAAAACAGTTATTTATACTTCGCAATTTTTAACTAAAATTATCCGTGATCTTTTTTTATTACCTAAAATAAATATTTTTTGAAAACATATTTTGAGTCATTTTAATACAGGAGGTTATTTTGACATTAAATCATGTCGTTCTACTGCTAATAAAGAACAAAAAATATTCATTTATATTTGAATTTTAATTAATAAGCGAAAATATTTTCAAGTAAATTTTTTAATAAATAGTCAACTGAAAATATTGTCTTTACAATATTTTATATATTTTTAAATATATTTAAAGTAGCAAATATAAAAAATTCTGTAAATCTAAATTTTCTTCCTAAATTTTTATTGGATTTAATTTAATGACTTTACATAGATTTTGTAATTTTCTGCCTTCAGTCTATACAGGGTGTTCTGTAATAACTGTTCTTTATATATATTTTCGGAATTTTTGTCAAAAGGAAAACTATACTCTTATTAGGAAGTTGCAAAGTGATATTAAAAGGAAGAAAAAACATTACCAAGATCTAACCAACTATTATTTGAGGATTAAAGTATCAAGACCAGTCTATTTGTTGGATGAAATTCAAAATTGTTTGTGATTACTAACTTTCATTTTCGTCCTCTTCCCTCAGGAAATCAAACTGGTTTTGGTGTTTTTTATTGTATGACCAGTATGACTTTGAGGTTTTCAGAAATGGTCAGTATGATTTTGTTGTTTTTGTTGATTGATTTAAGTTTTTGATGTAATAATGGAAGGTTCAATTTTGAAAATATTTTTTTTGTTCTCAATTATATATTACATTAAAATACTGAGAAGAATAGCATTTTTACTAAATTTTTAAAAAAGATTTAAAAAATTTATATTAAGAACGAACATAACCAAACACTTTTCAACATTTACTTTATATTTACCAAAATAGTTTTGGAAGCTCAAAAATTGATTTTTTTTTTAAATTTTATGTAATAAAATAAATTATTGGAAATCTAATAAATCCTTTTCAAGGTCATCGATTGTAAGAGTCTTTATTGAAAGATATCACTACTCTGCTACCTAACAATTAACACCACAATTTACCCTGAATTAACATTGTTAACTAACTAAATCAGTATATTTCATCCTCACATAACTATTTTCTCGAACAAAATAATATATAATATTAACGCAGTTAAATCAAATAATTACTTCTTTTAAGGTAAACTTTTGATCAACGAACCGTAATAATTCACTTTTCCGCAATCATCTGCTATGCTTCGTTAATCTTTCACTATAAAACTTTCACTATATTCGTTAATCTTTCACTTAATTTCTGCGGTAACTTTTTCTTTCATTGAATGCAATCTTTATTTAAAGTGAGTTTTTCGAAATAAAATTATAATACTACTTTAGCCTAATGCATGGAAGCAGTCTGAATTTATGAGAAAACTTTATTCCATAAAATGTATAAGAAATTGATTTTTTTAAATTTTTCACGGTATATTGATATTTTACCTGTCTAGAAATATTTCACTTTTTACGAATAAATATATAAAATGAAAATTTAGAAATCGATTTAAATCCACCATTTTATTGATTGTTTGTTCAAAAAATAGCTTTCCTC